GTCCTGGACATGGAGGAGAGGGGTAGTTCGGACGCAACAGCACTAAGGGAAGGGAGAGAGAGGTTGAAGCCTTCTAGGAAGTACCATCTAGCAAATCTGGTGATTGGATGCGAATGCAAAGGAGACAAAGTTCTAGATTTCTAACTTGGGCCCCTAGATCGATAATCATATTATTTGCCTAGACAGTGATTACTGGAATGAGGGAAGATTTAGGGGCAAAGGAAATTAATGTCAGTTTAATGGGTCTTTTCCTAGGTCATGTTCCAGAGCCTTTTGATGTGAGGCATAGATTTAGAAGGTACAGAAAGAGGGAATTCCTAGTCACTATGGTATGGATGATCACCTGAGCCATGGGCTTGGATGCAATTACCTGGAGAATGGTCTCTTGGAATATGTGTGACTTAGTCTAAGAGAGTCATTAGATCGTGAGAGAACCTTGTGGGATTTGAAAGAAGACTGGTTTTCCTGAAACACCCCTGGGAGAATTAACAAAGCAGTAATGGGACCAGAAAGCCACCTTATGGGACGTTCTTTGTCTTTTTCAGCCATTACTAATTGGGACAATTTAGATGTGTGAACATTATCTTCATTTCCTCCTGCCCTTCCTTTGAGGACCATTAGCCAATTACCCAAGTGTCTTCTTAGGAAAGTGTCTTCATAGGAAAGATGGAGCAAAAATCATTTTGCATATTTTTTAAAATTTTTACAAAAACTTTATTGAGAATTTCATACATGCATATAAGGTGTTTTGATCAAATCCAACCCCACTCCCTCCCTTCCAACACCTCCCATATCTCCCCATCTCTTTTTTTCTTTTTCTTTTTTTTTCTTCTTTCTTTTATTTATTTTTATGGGGCTTTTAGCTACTCTAACATTCCCCCTCTGAAGAGGTAATCCTAAAATCGTTTAAGGATTAGATACAAGCTCCCAAATACTTTTGACATTTTTGGACTTTGGAAGAGAGTATGTTGCTAACAGTCCCAAGGACATTTTGACTTTTAGCCAAGAAACTGGCTATGTTTCTTTGGGGGTCTTTTTACCCTAACTGCCTAGCCAATTCCTACCTCCTATTCTTATCACACCATCCTCTATAGGGGTTAGCCAAATTGCCAATAGGGAATACGGACGCTGACCGCTCTGGCTTCTTCCATGCTGAACAGGGATGCAGGGTGAGGCGATTGGAGTACCCCTTCAGTGGGTCTATCTAAAATCTCCCAAATTGTACAACTCTTATCTCTAAGGAGAAAAGAAAATCCTAGAATCATGAATAGGAGATGTGAAGGAGAAGTAAAGGCAAGAGTACTTAGCATTACAGGTTCTAGACAGGGAACTAGAAAAAAGAACAGGGCAATTTTCATTTGCATATTTTTCCTGAAAGATGAAAGTCTTTTGAGAACAGAAACCCTAAACTTAAAAATTTTAGGCTGAAAATGTGCAAGTGCCATTAGCTAGTTTTATATGTGTTGCAGTCAAAGTTGAGGTATTAAAATAGGGGTTCTGCTTGTGGGTAGCTTATCTCTGCATCCTTTGACCATTTCCCGAGGTCACAGAGTGTCGCTGAAGCAGACAGCACAAGAGAGGCAACATGCTGGGCTGGGTGCCTGACTCTCCTAATCTGGGTTTGCTGATCCAGGGGTGCTTCCTAAGCCCATGCCCTGGACCCATCTGTGTCCATGTCAGGAAAGCCTAGCATATGTGTGCTTTCCATGGCTCCAAATGCTTCCTCATCTCTTCATTACCAACCCCATTCAAGGCTGAATCCTCTGTCTTAGCATATGCAGAAAACTATTTCTGTTGACTGTTCCTCTTTGAAGTCTTGAGTCATACTAAAATATTTATAATGTGTGAGAAAGCTCTAAAATGACATTTTAGTTTCCGTAGACATCTTTCTTACTGAGGCCTTAGGATGATAGGAATTAATCTAGGGTTTCAGATTGAAGGTTGCTTAATCAAAGGAACGTCTCTTGGACATCAGCCAGCAATGACATCCTCATTAAATAACCATATCAGCCTTCCTCCACTGGAGATAACACTGGGCAGTTGGCAGCCTAAGCCATCATACTGGTAGTAGACCCAGCTCTGGTACTCATGGATTGGTGGCTGCCTTAGGTCTGGCATTGGTTGTTTGTGGAAGAGAGGGATGAAGAGCTGGAGTTCTTGCTGATGGCTCATGACTCTACCTAGAACTCCATGGTGTGTCTATGTTGATGGGTCCTTGTGAGTTGCTACAGCCTGGACTAGAGGGGCAGCAGAAGGGTGTGGCATACGAGAGTCTAGCAACCCAGAAGGCATTCTGGGTGCAAACCCACAGAGGACAGGAATTGTCCCCAGGTATCTTCAGACCCCTAGCTTCTACGATGCTTGGCATGTTAGAAGCCAGCATACTGATTTGTTAAATGGAAATTGAGCTATGAACAGCAACAGGCTGAATAAAGAAGGGATTGCTTCAAGGGACTGCAGTAAAAAACAAACAACAAAAAAAAACCCCAAAACAAAACAAATCAAAAACAAGGAGAGAAGGGAAAGGAGGTTCTCAGAACCAGGGATGGCTCACAGACTCTGGAGAGCAGATGTGTCAATCAAATCCGTGGTCAAAATCCAAAATAAATCATCATGTGTGTACATGACTTCTATAGTTCCCACCTCTCTGTGGCACTTCGTCCATATGACTGGGTGAACAAAGGTTATTTTTTTAGACAGTCTTGTAGTCTTGTATATTCCAGGCTAGTCTCAAAGTTACTATTGAAGCTGAGAATGACCTTGAACTTCTGCCTCCTGAGTGCTGGGATTACATGTTTGTACCACCGTGCCCAGTTTATCTGGTGCTGAGGATAAAATTCACAGCTTTGTACATGCTAGGCAAGCACTCTACCAAACAAGAGCTAGGCTAAACAAAAGCTAAGCCAAAAACTAAACAAAAGCATTTCAAATAGGCAATTAAACTGGGGCTTCTTGAAACCCAATAGATTGGTGCCATGAAAGCATATGGAATCGGCTGTGGATGGAGTTTCAATACCCTGGTTCCTCACATTATCTTAAATTATGCAGCAGTAAGAAGAACGGAATGGCCAAAGGATAAAATACATGTAGTCACTAAAAATAACATTTTCAAATAGCATTTATTGATAAGGGGGAAATTCTTGTTATGCAATGTTATGTGGAAAAGCAAGACGCTATGTGTTAGCACATGTGGAGGCCCATATAGATTCCTTTAGAATCGATGAACATTCCCTATAAAACCTTATATCTGTGCCCCAAATACAAGTCTGAAGTGAAAAATCAGTCAAGTGGTCAGGACTTCTGGGGTACTCCAAACTTTTCATCTTTTTAGATCTATTTTTTTTTTCTACACCGAGGTGACAGTCTACTCTCAAATGTGCCCCCCACCTCCCCCCAGCTCTCTTGGGCCCCGCATGCTCCTGAGCTGTGATTAAGGGCTGTCTGCTTAAAGCAGCTATCTCTGGCAGGGAGGCCACAAGGTGAGCCTCCTCTGCTTTTCATCCCGTCTCCAGGTGGAACTCAATCATCCTTGACTCCTATTGCTCCAGTGTCTTAATCTGACTGCCTTGAGTTCCTGCCTCCAGAGCCTGCCTTGCCACTGTTGTATGAAGAGGCCTCTTGATTTACTAATCAATTAATCTGTGCATGCTGACGAGCCGCTCAGGGTAGTTACACAAGTAAAACAAAATGCTGGGGCTTGTCATCAAGACAGATCATAATTAAGAGCAACCCTCCCACCGACAATCTTCCTGCCCACCCTGGCTGCCCCCACCACCCTCCTTCCACCCCACTTGACCCTGATGTGCTTCTGCTCCATAAAAGCTGACAGTGGATTTCTAAAGGGCGGATTTTCTTTTAGTGTCCTAAAGGAAGACGATCCTTAACTGTTGAACCTCAAAAATTCAGCCAGGCCCAAAACATGTCATGATGGTTCTGGTCCATATGTGCATGGGCAATGCTATCCTATCCCACTTTCCCCACAAATGGAGTCACCGAGCTGGATGGGCATTATAACAAGAGCAGGCTGTGTGACAGAGGAGAGGTTCAATGAAATAAGTTATCTAAGGTCACCCAGAATTTCAAGGTCACAAGGAGCAGATTTGGGAAATATTCTGTTGCCTGCCTGTTGACATACCCAGTGCTGTTTCTTTATACATTCCTGCTTTCCTGTGAAAGTTAAAGCAAATTAAATGAGAGCCATCATCCTTATTAAGTTTATTTACCTTTTACCTTTTACCTTAAGTTTATTTACCTTGGGCCTTAAGATTTTGGGGATGGGGGTTGAGAGAGCATCTCACTTTGTAGCCCAGGTTGGCCTGGAGCTTAATGAAATCTTCCTGTCTTAGTTTCCCTATTCTGGAATTTACATGGGCAGCACATTGAAGATTTTTTATGAGCCAATACATTGAAGATTTTTTAATGGTAGTTTTAGATGAAGCTTTTGGGGGAAGACTATTGTAATGAGTCAGGAGCTCATCATGGTACAGGTGATGGACCCTAGTCCATCTGCAGAGCTGTGCTGGCCACGGAAGCAGGCTAGATCCTGAATCTAGGAGCTGTTTGGTTTAGTTTTCAACTCCATAGCATTTAGCAGGCAGGATGCTGAGACCAAGTTTATTAGAACAGAATCTCTGTTCTTGGTCACAAGTAGTGCTTCCATCCCTTACTAGCACCCAATGATCCAGATTTAGGCACTCACCCCACCACGCTGGACTAGGGAGGGACCAGGTTGTCTCTAATTCTTTACTGGACATGGGAGGGGCTAAATGTTCTCATTTGACTGAGTGGTAAGGGCTTAGAAACTGTTTTGTTTAGTGTTTCCTTTAAAGTTTTTAGTGTCTAGCTCTCAAATATGGCTACCACAGGAATGCCTCTTCTGGTTTGATTTCTCTTTCCTGGTGGGTGCCAATCAAACAGTCAATTGGGATGCAGAATCTGAATTGTACTTGCCAGCCTTGAGTTACAGGCCCCTCCTTTTTTTCTGCTTGTGTGTTCTCCAGGACCCTGCTTTCTCAGCTGTGATTCACGACAAACTCCAGGTCCCTAACACCATCCGGAAGGCATGGAATGACAGGGACAACCGCTGTGACATTTGTGCCACACACCTGAACCAGCTGAAGCAGGAGGCCATCCAAATGGTGCTGACCTTGGAGCAGGCTGCTGGCAGCGAGCACTATGATGCGTCTCCTGGCTCACCCCCTTCACTCTCCAGTATGCCGACACTGGTGGGGTCCCGGCACATGGGTGGGCTCCAGCAGCCCAGGGAGTGGGCCTTTGTGCCTGCCCCCTACGCCAGCTCCACCTACACAGGCCTTGTCAACAAGCACAACAGCAAACCCAACAGCCTTGGGGTCAGCAATGGGGCGGAAAAGAAGAGTGGATCCCCAACCCACCAGGCCAAGGTCAGCCTCCAGATGGCCACCAGCCCCAGCAATGGGAATATCCTCAACTCAGTGGCCATTCAGGCTCACCAGTATCTGGATGGCACCTGGTCCCTTTCAAGAACCAATGGAGTTACCCTGTACCCTTACCAGGTAAGCACCTCTATGAGGAAGGAAGAACAGGGTTTCCCTCTTCAGGTATTGAAATAGCACATACCGCCTAGAATAAGAGCCAAGGCAGAGAAGTGGGCTGTATCTGATTTCTTCACTTTCTTCTCCTGGGCACTCCCAGCTCAGAGCCTTGTACTTCCACATAGCCTAGTCGAGTTCTTACCAGGGAGCTCCAATCAAGCCTGTCAGTGTTGAGAGTATATCCACCACCCTCCCACCTCTGCCCTCTTCTGCTCTATCAGTATCTTCCTCCTAAGACCCTGTTGTCCCAGGCAGTGCCAAGGGCTTCCTAGTCACTGGGTTTATTGTGTGGTGTTAGTGATTAGGAATATAGACCTGGAAGTGGTTAGGCTGGCCTGTATGCTGACCTGTCCACTCACTGTCCATTCACTAGCAAGATGCCTTTGCACAAAGGGATTGACCTATTTCAGGTTCGAATCTCTCACTTTGGAATGGATGTAATAGTAGTAAGGATTAAATAAAGGGTTGTATGTAAGACACATAGTCCAGTTTCTAGCATATGATCTGGGGTTGTGCCTGATAAAATACTTTTTGTAAATTAAGTCAAATAGGTAATTTTGAATCCCAGAATATAGCAGGCTACCTCAGATCATAATTGAAAGCATATGGGTTGGGCAGGATATCACTGAGAATAAAATATGAGAAGGCACAGTGGTTTGTGTTAGCATTCTACTTCTGTTGTCTACACTTTAAGTGGAGATGCACTTCCTAACCTTTCTTACCTTGGCGTACCCTCACCTCTTTCTATCTAAAATGTGTCTTTAGCTGTGTTGGGATTGGGTTGTGGAAGGCTTTTCCCCTTTTCTTCTTTTCCTTTTTCAGGTATTGAAATGAGTATATGATACCAAGTTTCCTTATGCGAAAGCAGACCTCAAATCTGAAAAAGAATTGTCCTGAGCCAGGCATGGGGGCTATACACCTGTAATCTCAGAACTAGGAGGACAGAGGCAGAAGGAGTTAGAGGCTAGCCTGGGATACATAGTGAGACCTTGTCTCAACAACCAATCAACCAACCAACCAAACAACAAAAAATTTGTCATTTTTCTCAGAGGAGCTTTTTGTTGGATGATGGTTTGAGTCAAGGCATGTACTCTGTGTCTTCTGTGTCTGCTGTGAAGGAATTAATCAGCATGGACTATTATTGATTGTCACTGGAGTGTAGAGGTGGCTGTAGTTACGGGGTGTTTTAGTCATGGAAGGTAACTGTTATATCAAATGATCTTAAGAATCTCAGGTCACTTCTCACCTGTGTTGTGTCAGAAAGGGTCTGAGATGGGTAGACTCTCTTATGATATAGGACTCAGACTTCCTCCATAAAATGTGTCCCCATCTTCCAGGGGCCTCACAGTCCTCCACAGGATCTTCTGTAAGCAGTCAAGAAATAAGGGAAAAGGGTGGAGGATCTCATCGGGGGTTTGGGGCCCAGCCTGGCCTAGAAAAGACATACATTGCTTCATAGTGGCAAGAATCCTGTGTCCTGGCCCCATTTTCCTACAGGAGAAGCTTGGAAAGCTAACTGCCCATGTGCCAGAAGAATACCAACTCAGGGCACACAGAGCAGTCTTGGGACGTGGGGCAAAGGCATGGGGAAGCATCAAATTAATTCAATGTGGCCAATAAAATTCAAGTGCCTTATAGTTCCCAAAAGACAGTGCACCCTATAGTAGGCCTGTAAGGCAAGGAGGAAACTGGTTAGATCTTTTATAGTCAAGGAATATGATGCTTAGAGACATTGAATGGCCTATGACCACACAGCCAATGACAGACCAGTACCAGCACCAAAGAATGGGCTTCCCTACCACAGCTGCTTCCAACTTTTCTAGCTTGGCCCTAAACAATCCCTAGTCAGTGTTTCTTCCACACATGAGATCTGGAACACTGAAAAACAGAAGGATTCTTATTTTTATCTTCAGGGCCTGAGATGCCATTTGATTTTTGGATGAGATGTACTCACAATTTGTAAAATTGCGATGAGGCTCAATGCTTCGACCTTCACTTAATAGACTGGGCATACATTCTTGTAGTGTTATGTATTTTTGTAAAATATGGTCTTTGGAGCTAAGGAGTAGCTCTTTGGAAGAATGCTGGCTTTGTGCAAGGCCCTTTGTTTGATATCTGGCACCACACGTATACAAAAGAAGAAGAATATGTTCTTTAATGGTAGCGTGATATTCTATAATGTGAATATTATCTACTACATGAGGGCTTGCTAAGTTATATAGCAGGCATCAATGTTAGAGTGTGGGCTTTTGTATGAATTAAGTGTTCAGGTGAACATCCCTCTGCCTAGGTGGTGTTTTAACTGTGTCTAGTAGTGTTAGCCAGATACTCATGTTACACAGATAACTTGAATTTCACCTTCCAAAGCCCTCAGAACCAGCATCCAGACTCCTCAGAAGCCTTAGCTGCTGCACCGGTACTAATGATGGATGGACAAAGAGCTTGAACCTGGAGCTTTCATATACAACCATGTGCTAAAGATAGAGAGGGGCCGGGGGAGAAATCTGGAAGATTAGGGATTGTTGGTGCATTCTTTTTCTAATATTTTCACAATAATTCTTTTTTCTTCTGCCCTGTCTCAGATGAAAGAGAATGTTTATACAAGAACACATATATTTAAAATCCTAGTCATGTAATAGGCACTGTGCTAGGTGTTGGGAGGGGTTGTTGTCTTGGGCTAGAAATCCAGGCTCTGGTCTGTGGTCCTCACAGTGAGAGAAGAGACAGGTTGTACACTGCCCATGGTGAGGCAGGTGGGTGGGTACAAAGGTAGGGAGATGCTTGGCTGTTCTGAGAGTGTGCAGAGGAATTAGAATCCAGCTCTCGAGGCAAAGGTTAGTTGTTGTGGCTTAAAGCTCCCATCTTGAAATTGTCCTGGATTCATTTTGTTGGCAACTTTTGAGCTGACCACTTCATGTATTTCCCCTGAGTAAATGGTTAAAGGGACCAGAGGAAATCCCTCTGAAATAAAGAGATTTGGGGTCTGGCTGTCAATCAGTGTCTCATGTGCTGTGACTGTGTCACCCTGATGCCCTGGAGCAGAGGCTTTGGGTCTGGCAGACTGAGTGTCTCCTGTTGTAGACATCTCCCTGCAGTAAATACTCTGCAGTTCATGGTCTAGCCAGCTCGTCAGAGATGGTTGACTGCTCTGAAAGCCAACTGCATTTTCCCTGCTCAGCCATACTCCCACTTCCCTCTCCGTAGAACAGATTACCTCTGGCCTAGTGCCAGAGCTAGAGCTAAGCAGGGCAGCATCTAGAGTTTAATCACTAGATGAAGTGAAGGGACCACTCCACTCCCGTAGAGCCTGAGCCTGTGGATATGTTATGGAAGATGAGGCTGATCCTTCTGCACCTTAGATGCCGTGAGGATGAAAAGGATGAGGAGGGCTGGCTTCCAACAGGAAGGTGATTTAGGAGGCACTGAGATTACCTCAGAAATGGTGAACAAACAGCACACATAATTTCTCATTAAATATCTTTGCAAGTTGATTTCATAGGAGAAGATCGCATGGACCCTTTCAAAGCATGACTGTTCTATTAACTTGCAAACACCCATTTGTTTTATTAGCTTGCAAACACTCAATGTAGTCTAAATACACATACAGAATTTGGAAAGTGCTCTCCAATCATTTATTCGCTAAGTTTTGACTGCAAAAGGACATGTGCATATTAGTTCTCAGAGATTAGTTTTCTCCTTTTGAATAGTAGTCGCTTTAGCTTGATTTACTTTCACTAGTAAACAACCCCAGGAAAGACTACATGTAACACTCACAATCTTAGGCTGCTGGTGTTAGAACCCACTTCTTTTTTTTTTGTC